CCCCAAAACCCCAAAACCCCAAAACCCCAAAAATTTTGAGTAAAAAAGTTGCAAAACAACATTCATAATAAGTAAAAATCGCAAAATAATTATGCTTTAAATTTAATTAAGAGTTAAATGCCCGATCAATTCTCAATGAGATCATCTAAATCTTAAAGATTGGCCCATTCAATAATATTAAAGACGATATGTATTGACTGTAACTAATCTAAATGATTATTTTCTAAGCAAGAGCACTCTATCCTTATCAATTGCAGCAATTTTATCGGCTGATAGAGCAGGGAATGAAATCCAAGTTTTGTCTAAGGAGCGGCCTGCCCTCATCACTTAATTTCTTTAGCAATTGATTATCCATAGAATATCTTCATCTGCTGTACTCATTTCTTTCGCACAATTCGTATAACTGAAATCAACTTCCAATATATCATTAATTATGTAGAGAATTCTTTTTTCATATCTTTCAATTGCAGTCCTTTTCCCTAGATTATCTGCAGTTTAGACATACATAACTGAAACACCCCAAAATGGATGAACCGTTTACCAATAAGAATAGTCTTCAATTTCACCTTCATATATGATAAAAAGAGTTTTATCTGCGGTCCAGGCAGAATCAACAACTTAGATATTTTCTGGTGACATTATTTTTCCAAGTAAAGGATGATTAAATTATAGACTTCTATTTTGATAGACAATAATTCTAACATCGTCATTATAGTACTTCACATTTTTTGGTTCAGATGGGAGTTTCTCTTCAAAATCTACTTCATCGCTTTCATAACTTTTGAATATTCTTAATTTGTATTCTTTCTATTTTTTCTGATTCAAAGTAAACATAGAAACACCTTTTGTTTTTCCTGTATTGAATACATCTGTGTAATTTTCCATTGCAAAATAGATAGTATCTTTAACTTCAACTTTGATACGATCTTATTTGAACAAATTAATATTCTTCTCTTAATTCAATTCAATTTCATCCTCAATTTAGAGTGAATAATAGGCTGTCCCTATAGCAGCAAACACACATGCAAAGGATAATATTTTCTTAGGCATATGTATTTTTCTGTGATTTTCTAGCCTATTTATTGAGAGATATTCCTCTGATTCCATTTTATTCACTGATATTATTAAATATAGACTTATTTATTAAATAGATTTATTTATTCACTTTTTTGGATTTTTTAGCAAATAAATTGGAATTAGGGGTTTTGGGGTTTTGGGG